ATCCCCCACCACCAACCCCACTCACTCCCCCTTAACAACGGTTGACGTCATCACGCATCCACGGTCCACCTCCCTTTCCTTGCCTTGTTCCCAGCGATTAAAGTTGGTGCGTGCGCGCGCAAACAGGGGTTTTTGTTCAGCGGAGAGAAGCGGTGCGTTCTTCAGAGGGCTCGCGCACACCGAAGGAGGAGCAGCAGCAACAGCAGCAGCAGCCCGACGAGGAAGAAAGGGATTTAAAACTAGCCGACTGTTGCCTCGTGCCTTGCTGTCGCTTTCTTCCTGCTTTAACCGAGGAAAGTTTATTTTTATTTTATTTCATTTTTTTAAAGGGCAATATATTAGTGTCGCTGGCTGATATTCACAGCACAAGTATTATGGAGGACCAGCTGCTGTGCTGCGAGGTGGACTCTATCAGAAGAGCCTACCAGGACGTCAACCTGCTGAACGACCGAGTTCTACAGACCATGCTGAAGGCAGAGGAGAACTATCTGCCGTCGCCGAACTACTTTAAATGTGTCCAGAAAGACATTGTGCCCAAAATGAGGAAAATACTAGCTACATGGATGTTAGAGGTTAGTTACATTTATTTAACTTTTAAATGAGTTAGCAAATGTTGCTAAAAACCTGTTGCTAGCTCGGTTTCAATATTGAAGTTACAAACACAATAAATGTGTCGTATTTTCAAAGGAATAAGAAGTGAATTGCTCATTTTTTACTTCGCCTTTTTTACGCAAAAGGCTCCATATCCCGAAGAGTGCTGGGTGGTCCTTCCATTACAGTCTCCAAAACTGAAGTCACTTTCCACCACAAACAGGCTACATTCTCGTTCATTTTGCATCAGCTTACATTTACTAAAATGTTATAAAGTGTGTTAAGATGAGTTTTCTTCCCTCAAAAAACAGCAATGTACACGTATGCAGTCTGGCCCGTGCCAGAACCTTATTACGCGCCATCTTTGTTGCCGTGCATAAGAAAAATTTTAATATCATTAAAAAACTACAAGGCGACAAGCAATGACAGTAAACCGTTTAAATGTCCCAGAAATGCTTCTAAACCACTAAACGCTTACAATGTTTCAGCTAGGCTTTATTCAGCTGGTATTAACTGGTAAAAGTTTGTTTTGCTTCCCGAGAGTGGCCACAGCTTGTGAAGGTCGCCGAGACAAAAAGGGCATTTTTAAAAACTATTTAAAAGCCGAACACGGATCTTAGCGGTCGGCTTTGATAGCTTAGACGTTTTCAAACATTTACAAAGTGTTTCGGATTAAATTATTCGTCGTTATATATTTTTTATTAATTTTTGAAGTCGGGCATTTGGGCGCTCTGGGGGAAGTGTCGCACGCAGCACGTGAAAGAGCCTCGTGGGAGAAATAATTTCGTTAAAAAATCATTTCGAGCGCAAGTCGGCCCGTTTGATGCCCATCCGATTAGGCGTTCGATGAGGATCATTTAGATGGTAGTTGCATGCGGCCTGGTATTTTTTAAGTATTTCTAAATATTTTTTGAAAAGATGACGAAGTTGAAATTAGAGAGTGAAACTTGCATCTACGCCACCTTTGTGTCTCAGTCAGAACTGACTGCAAGCAATGTCCCGACTGTTTCCCTGCTGTAACATTTTTGTTAAATATTCTCTAATAAATACAAGTTATAAGATCACATTTTTTTTGTTTCAAGATAAAATAGTTGCTTTTCAATGGCGTACATCGTTGTATTTAAACGCAAAACTCAGGTGCAGTTAAATCGCAATTTTTTTTTGTTTTTTATATGTAAGTTATGTGTATTTTTTTTCTCATTTGTAATTATAGTGGTATGAGCAGCTGTTGAATGCAAACAGCTGTGTGCGGACAGTCAGTGAGGGCAAAGACATTACATGCATGAGGAGGAGGGGGGGGGGGTCCTCCTGCAAAGCAGCAGTAACCTCAAACATGCTCTTTTTCACCTCCCAGGTCTGTGAGGAACAGAAGTGCGAGGAGGAAGTTTTTCCGCTGGCTATGAACTATTTGGACAGATTTTTATCAGTGGAGGCCACCAGGAAAGTGAGACTACAGCTGCTCGGAGCTACGTGTATGTTTCTAGCATCCAAGATGAAGGAGACCGTGCCCTTAACGGCYGAGAAACTCTGCATCTACACAGACAATTCAGTCCTTCCTGGAGAACTGCTGGTAATTGAGTTGTGCAGACACGATGTTACATAATAACGCTTACAGTATTGTGGTCGGCATTCATTGGACGTGGGGAGGAAGGAAGGGTCACATGACCAGAAGAGGATTTAGCAGGTTATTTGTTTTGTCAGCATTACGGGGTTCAGAAGATGTTAAAGTAAAGTGGATAGAATGTGCGAAAGAAACAAAGTGTTAAAAGCATGCAGCAGTGTCTGAATGGCTGCTTGTGACTTTCCCATGGTGACTAGAAGGCCTCTCTGATTTCATGAATGGTCCCACTGACTTTTCTAGAAAGTGCTGGTTTACAGCGACATCTAGTGGTCACGAGGCGGGGATGCAGACAGTGGACAACAGCAAAACAACGAGTTTTCATCCGTGTTTGTTTCCACATTTACTTTTTGGCAGCTGTTTCACTTCTCTATCTGTCCTTCACTTCTCTAAAAGAGATGGGAAACAGACTACCACATTTATACACAGTATAGAACAGTATTTGACTACCTTATAAGATACTGTAAGATAAGAATCCTCATCCTGAAATTAAATATTCAGGATTACTGCTCAGAAAATTTACATAGCAATTGTTCTGAAAAAGTATGGTTTGTAATATTGTTCTTAGCAGGAAGATAGACTCGTGGACAAACTTGGCCACAGAAGATAACTCTTAACAGTTAAGCTTTACAAGTTTATTAAAAATAATAAAAGAACAGGATTGAAGCTGCTAAGAACTAAATCCTGATGTTAACATCAGGGTGACCAAACCTAGGTTTGACTGACTTGTTCTGGTTCATTCACAGCAAATGGAGCTTCTGGTTCTCAACAAGCTGAAGTGGGATCTGGCTTCAGTCACGCCTCACGACTTCATTGAGCACTTCCTGTCCAAGCTGAAGATCCACCCCTCCACAAAGCAGATCCTCAGGAAACATGCTCAGACCTTCGTGGCGCTCTGTGCTACAGGTTTGATACCAATTTAATGTCCTGTTGCTAGTCAAAATAAATATTTTATTTCATTGTTTTTTTCTTACTGTAATGTTACCTAACATACCTAAAATATAACTGTTCATTAGGTATTAATATTGAATGATAGTCATTTCTGCTGTTATATTGTTGTTATTAAATAAAATCAGCGATATAAACTACTTTGTCCCTTTTTTTTAAATAGATGTCAACTTCATTGCTAGTCCTCCATCCATGGTGGCGGCGGGCAGTGTGGTGGCTGCTGTTCAAGGTCTTTACCTGAAGAGCCAAGATTCCTCCCTGTCCTCCCAGAACCTTACCAACTTCTTGTCACAGGTCATTCGCAGCGACCCGGTATGAAACCGCACACGTCCTCTCTCAAAGTCAAATAATCCGATATGTCATATGTGTTGTTAAGCACTGCCGTGGTTTTGACTCCGTGTTGACGTGTTCACGTGCAGGACTGCTTACGGTCGTGTCAGGAGCAGATAGAGTCCCTGCTGGAGTCCAGCCTGCGGCAGGCTCAGCAGCACAACGGTACAACAGAAACCAAACACGTGGACGAGGAGGTGGACCTGTCCTGCACGCCGACAGATGTGAGAGACGTCAACATTTGAGGACGATCGGCAGCTGCATTGCGCGATAAACCCGATGGATCAAGAGGAAGTTGTCGTCAGAGGGAGCCGATGGGAGGGGCGAGGAGGGGTTGCTTCATCTCGACTCCGCAGCCCCTCTTCTGTCCTTCTCCCGCTTCCCGGTGGGCTGCTGTCATGGCCGATAATGTCTCTCACACATTCCCGCTGTCCATAACAGCTGCCAAGACGTAGCAGCCCTGCCTGCCTCGATACACACCCCATGTCACATTTCCTGCCAGTGTCCCCTTCCTCCTTGGGAAATCAACTGAACACTAAAGAAATGTACGAGTGAAAAGACTGAAGGTGGCTGGCCTGCGAGGCCTGGAGCTGAGGCCACAGAAGCAGATATTTTAGTAGATATTTTTTCTTTTTCCCTCACATATTAAACTAGGAATCTTTAAATTACCACAGACTTGGCATGCCTACTAAAACATCCCAAAGTGTCGTGTGCAGTAGGTTCTCTTAGTCTGTCTTCGGGTGCTCTCCAGAAGCCTGACATTTATAAAAGCAAAGACGCTGGTTCCTTTCGATTTCTTTTGTCTTATATCTAGAATGCCTTAGACTGTCTGCCAAGTTCCCATGTTTGTCTTGTAGTGCAAACATTCATTTATCCCAGCTTGCTTATAGTCACTTTATTATATAATTTTAGACATCATTTAGTCTTATACCTCCTTTGTTCCAAGCTTTTTTTAATGTCAGTGTACTGAGTGACGCTCTGTTTTTATGATCTTAGAGACTATGGGCTGCTAATTTGGACAAATGGAAATTTTTGTTCATTCCTTGACGACATTCATTTTACTCATCCCTGCTTACTGTAACTTGATAACATTTAATCAATGTAAATGTGAGCAGAACAGTCCAGTCTGTATTATTTTCTTCTGTGTAGTTTAGGGCTGGGTAAAAAAAAAAAAAAATCGATTTTATCGATCTTGGATCGATTTCATTTAAATTTGGGAAAATCAATTCACAGGACATGAGATTGATTCTTCCCCATGCTGTCTTGTGCGCGCGTCTGAGGTATGTTTGTCACTCCTGGCTTGCCGTATTTTTGCATCCGGTTGACGTTCAGTGCTAACGTTAGCTTTCGGTAACAAGTTGTCTGGATCAAAACAAAAGAAACTAAGGAATCTAACGTTACCAGCCGACTCTCCACAGAACTTAACGATAACAGAGACCATGGTGACTTTTGTTTGCAAAGATTTGCGCTCCTACAAGGTAGCAAAAACGAAGCGAGGTTTGACGAGCGGTTCATTAGGCGCCCGAACCAAACTACGGTGTGTAAACATCTGACTGAAATGTTCTCCACCGGCGTGTTTAAATGTCTTAAAGATGACATTCTAACAAAATCGTTTAGTTTTGTTGCCAATATTAATATTGTTAAACTTTAAGAAACGTCTTAATGAAATCCACAGTGATTACATTTTGTAGTTGTTTTAATAAGTTGTATGTATTAAAATAAGTTTTATTGAACGTAACAACAGAAGGTAACAGAAACATTACGAATATACAGTTCTAAGATACGATAAGCCTTTATTATCACTGTACAGAGCACAATGAACTTACAGTTCAGAACACCCATTCAGTTTTTCATACACTCAAAAGGAGTGGGCAGAAGTATATTTATATTAGCCCACCTCTTCTCCTGCAACCTTATTCCCATCACTTCTTATTTATCAAAATAATTATTAATTACTTAAAAATGAATGCATCCACAAAACTGTCACCTGCATCTCCTTTTTACTTTAAAATCTTTTAAACTTGTGACAGTTTTTTTTCAAGATTAAACAGTTTAAAAGTTTATGTTAAAGAGGAAAAAAATGGTGATAATGTATTTTGCAACTGTTGCAAAATACAATATCAATAAACATGTTCATTGAATCGAATTGAATCATGATTAATCGATTCTGAACTTAATGAGTTGAAATCGAATCGATTTAGAGAATTGGCCATGATACCCAGCCCTGGTGTAGTTAGATCTAATACCATTCCAATGATTTTGTTTTTCTGCAAAAGAAAAAGCACTTTTAGTCAGTAATGCTGGCTCGACTAAAAAATAAATAAATAAAATAAATAAAAATCACTTAGATTAAGTTTGTAAAAGAACATAAAAATAGAACAGGGGGTTTGAGCCAGAGTCTTGTGGTGATGGAGATGTAATCGAGTGTGTGTGTTTGTGTGTATGTGGATACAGCTGCACCCGGATCAGATTAATGCAACGGGACAAAGAGATAACCAGACTAAGACTGAATGCTGTTTGGAGCTGCCATATGTCGAAAAGCCACTGGCTCATTGTTGCGGTCTTTGCAATATCAGATTAAAGGTTCACACAGAAAGAGGTGCTCTGGCGTTTTCGCAAATGTCAAAGGTTTTGGTTAAACATCAGCATAAAGAGCAGAAAACTTCAACTCCACAGGTAACATAAAGAAGTAAATAGTGTTTGTATAATTAAAATAATGTGCCTATTTTCATTTGGGGGAGAAAAATACTATATTTTTATAACCAGTGCTCCTGTTGCCGATGTTCAACTCAAACTATGAGCTTATCTCCTCCTCCAGAGCAGCCCTTTGGTCAGGAAACACAGGAAAGTGAAAATCTCCAGTGTGCTTGTAAACCACCAGGAGAGCATCTCCCTCCCCCTCCCTGCCAATACTCAACCTCAGTTCAAATACTGCTCATGGATTCTGGGACACAGATGAAGCTAAGAAAAAAAAAAAAGAGGAATGATAAGACTATTGACAAGATTTTGCACAAACCTAAAAGACGTGGGCTGCGTTTCTTGGGGACTTCCCTAAAAAAAAAGGTGGAGAGTAAAGCTGGTAACAATAACCAAGGGGTAAAAAAGTGAAAACAAAAAGAGGGTAAAGACTCACTAGTATGTTTGTTTTAAGTCAGGGCTCCTACGCAGGACGAGGAAAGTTGTTCGGGTCAAGTTTAGATATGTTTTGTTTTTGTAAGGATGTGAGGATGTTAAACTGTAGGAGCTCTTTAAACTAGGTTTCTGATCGTCTATTATGGATAGAAAGTAGGAGAGAAGCACTCCTTGTATTCCGCTGCTATAGAACATAAATTCCAGCTATGTGTTTAAGGAAAAAAAAACACAAAAGAAGAAAAAAAATGAATTCAAACAATGCTTTTTTCTGTTTGCTGCTATGTATTTTTTTTTTTTTTGTTTTGTTTTTGATGAATTTTATACATATAAATGTCAATATACTGCCATTCTAGGTTTGGATTTTCTCATAGAAAATTGTGTTATTGGCATCCTCATTTTGTTATTTTGTGTAGATTATGTGATCAGCTATTGTGTTTATAATTATGTAATATGAATTGAACCAGAATTATGTAATATGAATTGAACTGTTCCAAAAAAGAGAGGAAAAAGTAGACAATGTACAGAGATGCTTTGATCCACGATACCTCATGTGACAGTCAAGATCTATCTCTGATTTTGTTTTTTTGTTTTTTAGTTTATTTAGTTTTTATTCTATTCTACTCGTTGGGTCAGTGCCTACCAGCTCTGTTAAACCTGCTTGAGGTGAAAGAGTCTGCGATGGAAAACCACCAGCGAGTCCACGGCATGCTTCGATACTGGTGCCATAACAGAAAATGGGATATGTATAACTCTTTTGAGTGTTAAGCTGTCTCGGTGATAGAGACTTTATCCACATTTAGGCCCATAGTGGCCTTTTTTTTCCTTTATCCCCCTTTTTATATTTATAAAGAGAAAAAGCTTTGTGCTCCAACTTTCAAACTGTCAATGAGTTGATTTGAGTTTGTAAATAGATTCAGTGTCATTCTCTGTAAGCCATAGACTATAATTGTTGTTTCACAAATCATTTCACACAGTTGTGTCTACTTCACGCCAGCCAGTTTGCGACTGGGACYAACAGTGTATTCATCTTTGTGTCGACAACACAATAAAGAAAAATATGATTTAGAGAATGGAAAACTGGCTGACTTTTTTCCACAACATGGAAGTTATTRATCTGAGCTCTGATCTGGTTGTAAACACACCTTTACTATTTTTTTTCTGATGTTCAATAAACTTAATTGAAACAAAATGAAAAAAAAACTTGACATTTCTAGAGTGAAAATAATTCGACATGGGCTCCACGGCCAACTGACTTAAATAAAATCTTCAAAACAGCTTCATCTCAGCTAATTTGAAAAGGTACTGAGCTAAATTCCATGTGCTGACAGCCATAAAATACATGTGTTCTGTATATTGTGCATGCATGGTGCAAACAGCCTGCCAAAAATCTCAATATTTCACTACAATACACATATTTTCAAGGTTTAACCAAAACAGCTTACTCCATAATTTCTCAACATAAAACTCATCCATGTCGTGGATTTTTTTTTATCCCTCCCACTGCCCTAAATTGAAAATGACCCCAGCAGCACAACTTACAGATTCCTTGAAGAATTGTATAGGAAACACGGAGAATACCGGAAAAGGAGCATGAGGTGCACATAATGTCAGGCTGCATGTGGAGTGAAAACCGAATGCCTGTATGAACCAGGGGCTAACGAGCAGAGTGGAAACACCTGGGCTTATTGACGACCTGGAACAGGTGAGTAGAGCTGAGGCGCTGGTGGCACAGGAAGGCAATAAAAGTACAGCATAAAGAAGACAGAAAATCAGATTCATAATGCCTCAAAACAGAAAAACAAACTCTGAAAATCAATAATAAAAACTGAACAGACCACAACATTCTCAATATTTAGAACACACTTCCCAGTCAATCTATCTTTTAATCAGGACCACCATCCCAAGTTGGCTCAATCCTCCTGGCAACATTCGAGAGATGTCATCCCAATAGTATTTAGAGAAGTAGTTCCTGACACTGGTCCTCCAATTCTGAATGTTTTAGAGGTTTCCCTGCTTTGACGCACCAGATTTGTATGAATAAGTGATTACTAAGCTTCTGAAGAATCTGTACAACATCTAAACAACTAAAACAAGCAGGATAGTATTCCTCAAGGATCAGGACTGGGACCACTGATCTAGAGGCTTCAGGATCTTGTTGATCTGTATCTACTCTTTGTTGCCATCACACATTTTTTTAACCTCATAGGCAATGTCTGCCAAAGTAATGGGCTCGTCTTCCTTCGAATCCTCAGACTCTGCGTCCTCACTAATGGACATAGTGGCTGACTCAGGGAGATCCTCAAAGGGCTCCATTCAGAGCTTATCAATGACCTTAATCCACATCTGCAGTTCTCTGACAAAGATAAGCACAGTTTAGGACAAACTAGGCGTGGATGAAACAAAATTTGAGGTGTGAACAGTGGTTTGGGTTGCTCAGGTTCAAAACGTGAATGAACATTCAGAGTTWGGATCAGCGATAAGGAGAAGCAGTGCATTCAGTCAGAATATACACATACAGTGGTTTGCAAAAGTATTCATACCCCTTGAACTTTTCCATATTTTGTCACATTACAACCACAAACATAAATATATTTCACTG